TGTCTGCAGAAGGGCATCCATCAAAGCACTGCTCCTAATGGGGACTATCGGCAGCAACTCTGACACCCATCGGCAAGAGAGCTGGGCATTCTCGAACATGTTTCAACCCAGGAGAGATCTGCTGTTGTCTGGTCCGGTGAAGTTCTTCCTTATGGTTTCAAATTGATCTTGGTCTTGTAAAAAAAAAAAAAAGTATGTGTAATATTTATGATTTGTTAAGGAAGTACTCCCAGGAGTAACTGGTTCATAGGCTGGGGAAGAAGCCAAGTGAATGCAGCCTGAGCCCGCAGGGAACTCTGGAGCAAAATTAGTCTTCAACAAATACTGCATGAAGCCACTTACAGGAGGTCCCCACAATGGGCAAAGTCATGGAGAATTAGAGTGGAGGTTGCCAGGGGCGGGGGAGGGGGAAATGGGCAGTTACTGTTTAATGGGTACAGAAGTTCAGTCTGGGATGATGACAAAGTTCTGGAAAGGGGCAGTGGTGATGGTTGCACAATACTGTGGACGTGTTTAATGGCACTGAACTATATATGTGTAAGATCATTAAAATGGTGACTTTTATGTTGTCGTCAAATAAACAAAAATTCACACTCACATACACAAAAAAATTACACCAGGTTTGTTGAGGGCCTTCACATTCCTGTATCAAACAGCACCTCTGGGCCACCCTTGATAATGGAAGGATGTCAATTTCCAGGCCTCTCCAGTTCTCTGTGAAGAGGCCCAAGGAGCTCAGAGACTGTGCTCGGAACTCACCCAGGCGAAGAGCACACGGTATGGTCCGCGGGGTGGGGAAGACCCAGGGTGGGCACCCACAGTGTCTGCCCCCCATCCTCTCAGGTCACCTGCACCGGCTGGTCAGCAAGTTACATATTAGGGGAATCGCCAGTCACCTGACCACACTCCTCCGTCACTCAGGATTTGAAGAAGATAAGCCCACGCTAGGGAGCAACATGGGGGATTTAACAGAGGGAGTTAGTTACAAAGGTGTTGGATGAACCGAAAGGGCAGGGCAGGTAAAGAAGACAGAGGGGCAGCAGTGGCTTTCAGTAGATCTGCCTGTTCTGTTCCCCACTCTGTCTCTGGTGAATCCTCTCACCCCCCTGCACCTCTGGCCCGTACCCCAGCTCTTGTGTGCATAAATAAAGTTTAAAAAAAAAAAAAGAAGATGACAGAGGGGATATGAGTGAGCGGAAAAGTCACGAAGGTACCTGGGATTAGGGACAGGATGGTGGGAACACAGCGAAGGGGCCAGACCTGTGAGGCATAAGGTGCACCCAGATGTCAGGTGACCTAGGCAGAGAGAGAAGGGAACTGACCAGGAGTCCGAGGCAGCGGCTGCCCCACAGCAGAGCAGGGAAAGAGTGAAGAGCAGGTCTGCACAAAACACCACTCTTCTCTGCGCCAAAAACTACCAGCTGCAGTTGTCTGTGTGCCAGGACTGGACCAGATGTCGTTGTTCAGCCTGGACTAGCACACAGTGTGGGGCAAGATGGAGCTGCCTCCACCCAGAGGAGAAAGTGTCCACTCAGGAAGGCTCCTGGAGCCCCTTGCGTCCCTGGTGCAAAGCAGGAAAAGCTGCCCTCCAGGCAGACACAGCCCTGGGCACATGGCGGCAAGCAGCCAGGTGAGCTTCACTCTCCTGGGCAGGGTGGAACTCTTCCCACCTGGGCCTGGGGCCTGCACCCTGTCTCACAGAGCCCCCCACCAGAGGGACAAAGGCTCCTGGGCCCCATTTGACAAATATTTACTGAGCAACTACTAGGTGCCAGGCATTTCTTCTAGGCCCTAGGGAGGCAACAGTGATGAAACCTAAAAATTTCTGCCTTCAAATATGCCAACATGTCAGTTACACTCAGAGGCGGGCAGCGGTTCACTGTGCTCGTCTGTATTTCTGAATTCATTCACTTAAAAGTTAGAAGAAAATAATCTTTGCCTTCAAAAGAGACTAAAAATAGGGTGTGTGTGTGTGTGTGTGTGTGTAGTGTGCTAAGTGCTAAAAAAACACGAAACAGGAATGAGGATGGGAAGACAGAAAAAGCCCATTGGAAAGTATATGTGGAGATTCCAATTTTACAAGCAGGTTTCCCCACTACTGGAAAGTAGAAGGTTCCTATTTGGCAGGTTATTTTTTGGCTCCAGGAACTGCTTACACTATTAATTTACAGGGAAAAAATTGAGCATTCCCAGATCAAAATAAACCATTAAATCATACTGAATAGGAACCTGTAGTGCTGTTCAGAAACTCCTCAGGGCTCGTGCTGTCTGGGAACCGCTCTGAGGGAGTCCAGAGGTCCATCGGCTTTATTTGCCGAGACGTGTGGCCGAGGGCACAGAAGACCTACAGGCCCAGCACCCTCCCAGCAGGAAAGCCAGTGGGAGGCCCGCAGTGGGAGCACCCCGCCCCCTGGGTGCAGGGGCTGAGAAGGCCCAAGTGCACCAGGAAGCGCCGTGGCAGGAGATGAGGCGGGCTTCGAAGGCCACTGCAGGGACTGCGGCTTTTACACCGAGTGACAAGGGTGCCCCTGTGCAAACAGGATCTGGGGGCCGCCTGGCTAGGTAAAATGCGCGCATCTCCCAGGGTGCAGGCGCTCTGTGGATTCCCTGTTGCTCAGAAGAGTCTAGTGGACCCATCAGAGACTGAGACCCGCGTGGGCTTAGTTTTCCCTTCCGATTTTGCCACTTTGTCTTTCCAACTTGGCAAAAAAGCCTTTAACCCGTTCCTGCCGGTGTGCGGGCTTGTATTGGCGCAGACGGGGAGGGTAGGGCGCGAACCTCCCGGGACACTCCTTGGCCCACGCTCCGCGGATAGCAGGTCTCTCCGGCTCGCCCACCAGTCTCTGGCCACCTTGCGGGTGCCCCTGGGGCAATCACCCCCACAGGCCGAAGGACACCCTTCCCCACGCGCCGCCCCGCAAGGCACAGGCTCCGCAGGAAGGGGCGGGCACTGCCTGGCGCCCCGCGTTGCCATAGCGACCAGCGTCCAGGACGCCAGAGCGCGCTGTTCCTCCCGCCGCGTGGGGAGACCCCGGCCTCCTGCCCGCCCCCCACCACCGACTCTGAATCCAGGTACTGCCCTGCAGGTGAGCAGGTGAGCGCAGGTGGGAGGACGCAGGTGGGGTGGGCCCGGGGCTCGGGAGGGACCCCTAGTTGTCTGGGCCGTGCCCCCTCCACCTTTCCTCCAGGTAATCATTGTTATCCCGTGGCAAAATCCCCGGGCCCTGGGCGTGTGGCTTTGCAACGTTGTCTTCTCCTGTCCTAGCTCTGTCTTAAGACCGCAGCCTCCTCTTAGGAGAACCGATGCTGCCGAAGTTTGGGGCAAGCGTGATGTTATGTTGCATGGATGATGTATTAAGCAGCCAGTGACCCCGGGAGCAAGTTGGTAGAGGAGCAGTTCTCTTCCAGTTCCCAGGAAGCCGAGGGAAAGCATCAGGGTACGAGGGCCAGCAGCCTGGCTCAGCAGCTGCTACGTCAACTGTAAGCCCTACAGCGTCTCACCTAGACAAGTCGGCTTTGTAGTCGTTTTATTTTTTTTTAAGATTTATTTTTTAAGACTTATTTATTTATGCATACAAGAGCTGGGGTACAGGCCAGAGGTGCAGGGGGGTAGAGCATTCACCAGAGACTGAGTGGGCAACAGAACAGGCAGATCTACTGAAATACACTGCTGAGGGGAGCAGCGGGCGAGACAAGATAGGTCTGCTGTGCCATGTGGGTTGCTCCCTGGCCGGGGTGCTGCAGTGGCTGCTGATAGCGTCATAGGTTGCAACTTAAGTCCTTAGGCCACCAGGGAGGCCCAAGATGTATTTATTTATACAAGAACTGGGGTACAGGCCAGAGGCACGGGAGGGTGAGATAATTCACCAGAGACAGAGCAGGAAGCAGAACAGGCAGACAGACAGAGAACACTGCTGAGGGGAGCAGCGGGCGCAACAGAAAAGGAATCTCCCTGGCCCACCAGGAATCGAACCTGTACTGGGCAGGCTGTGGGCAGCTTCAACTGAGCTCAACCCACTGCGCCACCGGGGAGGCCCCTATTTTTATTATTTTTTTAAAGACTTATTTATGCATACAGAACTGAGGTACAGGCCAGAGCTGCGGGGAGGGAGGCTAGGTGAGAGGATTCACCAGAGACAGAGTGGGGAACAGAACAGGCGGATTGACGGAAATACACTGCTGAGGGGCGCAGCGGGGAGACAGGAGAGGTATGTTGCGCCACGTGGGTTAGGTCCCTGGCCGGGGATAAAACTGGTGCTGCAGTGGCTGCGGACAGCTTCATTGTGTTGACACGTAACCCCTGCGCCATCAGTGAATTCATTTAAAGATGAATCACAGTACAGTGGTTCTTGGAAACGTTGAGAAAAAGAAAAACCTTAAATTTAGGATGTGGAACCGCTGCACCCTCCCAGGTTTTGCCCTTGCTGTTTCCTGATCCTACACGTCACCAGCAAACTCAGTAGCAGCGAGTGGCTAGCCAGCCTGGCGGGACTCCAGGGGCCCTGATGCAGCCAGGAGCCAGCTCCTCCATGGGTGGGGACCTGCTCATAAAGGACTAAGAATTTGAAAATGGTGACAGCAGAGCAGCAAACCCAGTAGGGCCCTTCTAAGGCAGCAAGAGTTCGATCCCCGGCCTGGGAGCTGAACTACATGGCGCAGCAGACCTCTCCTGTCTCTGCGCTGCTCCCCTCAGGGGTGTATTTCAGTTGATCCCCCTGTTCTGCTCCCCACTCTGTCTCTGGTGAATCCTCTCATCCCTGCACCTCTGGCCTATACCCCAGTTTTTTTTTTACCCAAAAGTAAGAAAAATTTTTTAAAAATAAAAATTAAAAAATGAAGTCAGCATTCCCGCTGCTTGTCACGCTGGGTTTTAAGTGTGTGGCCCTCGCCCCCCACCCCAGGGTCACTTTCTCCTGATGCCATCACAAACCTCCCTGCTGTCTCCCAGGGTTTCCAAGCAATTGTGCCATCAGAGCCTGTCTGCTGAGACCTCTGGAAAAGCCAGGGAGGGAAGCCGAGGGCCAGTCCAGCACAAAGGATATCACCAGGGCTGCTCACCCTCCTGGGGACTGAGAACACATGACTCACCCCACCTGAGCTCAGACAGGGGTTCCGGGGGATGCCCCGGGATCTAGGCATTACGTGCCCACTGAGCCCAATGCCCCTGCGCCCCCGCCTGTGGCTCCGCAGGAGCAGCCAGCATGCCTCTCTCCAAGCACCCGCAGAAGGCGCAGCCCTGGTGGAAGGAGTGGGACCGCAAGGCCCAGAAGAGCGGACTGAGGCACCAGGTGTACGCCACCAACGGCGACTGCTACGTGGGCGAGTGGAAGGACAACCTGAAGCACGGTGAGGGGCCCTCGGCGCGGGCTGCTGGGGTCCGGACCGAGGAAGCGGTGCATTGCACAGAGCTCGCTGGGGACAAAGCCGTGTCCCCAAGGGGGGCCAGCCAGGGACCCCCCTACACTGGGCTCTGGAACAAAACTCAGCCCGGACGCCAGCTGAGACAGGTCTCAGGCCAGAGTGGTCCTGAGAGACCCGACGCGGCCCAGCTCTGGGCGCCCAAGCTCAGCCCCTGCCTGTCCTCGCCACGGCCGGCTGAGGACGCGGCAGCCCCAGAACCAACTTGTCATTGGGATTCTGGTCTTCAGAGGACCCTGATATCCCGAAGGCTGATGTGGGCAGGGAGGGAATGTGGGGGGGAGGCCCCCTACCCCAGAAGTCGCTGGGCTCAGATTTAACTGGGCTGAGCTCTGGTCTAACCAGCAGCGGGTCAGGGGAATCTTTGTGCTACCAACTAAACCCAGAAAAACATTTTTTTTTATTCCAAAAACCCTGTGGTGTGGCTTCCGGAGCTTGCAGTTCCAGAGTCTGTGCTTTTTTTTTTTTAAAAGAAACCTATTTTTTTTTTAAAGATTTATTTATTTATTTGTGCATACAGGAACTGGGGTACAGGCCAGAGGTGCAGGGGGTGAGGGGACTGACCAGAGACAGAGTGGGGAGCAGAACAAGCTGATCTACTGAAATACATTGCTGAGGGGAGCAGCAGGCAAGACAGGAGAGGTCTGCTGCGCCATGGGGGTCAGCTCCCTGGCTGGGGATCGAACTCATGCTGCAGTATCTGGCGGTAACTTCAAAGCACTGAGACTTAACCGCTTGCACCCCCAGGGAGGCCTCCCACACCCTTCACCTTCTAATAATAGGCCCCTCCGACCTGTGCCACATCTGGACCAACAAGAGAAATTCTGAGATATTTCTCTTTTTTTCTTTGTTAAGATTTATTTATGCATACTAGAGCTGGGGTACAGGCCAGAGGTGGGGGGGTGAGAGGAGTCACCAGAGACAGAGTGGGGAGCAGGACGGGCAGACTGGCCGAGGTACACTGCTGAGGGGAGCAGCAGAAGAGACAGGAGAGGTCTGCCGCGCCACATGGGTATCTCCCTGCCCGGGGATCGAGCTCATGCTGCAGAGGCTGCGGACAGCTTCATAGGAAGGCCCTTTCCTCCCCGAGCCCCTGCATCGCGGCAGCCACGTGGGTACACGGGAAGGCACAGTCGCGGCCCACCCGGGACAACTCCCGCCTTCACTCCCGCCCGCGGCCCTCCGGCTCGGCTCCGGCGTCGCCCCTCGGCGGGCGCCCGGGTCCCGGGTCAGACGAGCGCCGGCTCTGGCCAGGCGCCCACCCAGCTCCTCGCGCGCCCACCCGAAGCCGCGGGCGCGTGGCTTGTGAGGCAGCTCGGGCGGCCGCCGGCGAGCGCTGAGGTCGAATGTCGCGGGAGCTGGCCTCGCCCCGCACCCGCGACCGCGCGGGCGCCCGCAGGCGGCTCTCGCGGCCCCGCCCCGCAGCCCCTCCGGCCGCTCCCGCCGCGGAACCGGGCTTGAGTCTCATTGGGCGCTGCCGGTCACATGCCCGTCAGTGAACCAATCACAGGGCCAGGGCGAGTGGGCTGCACCGATTGGCTGGGCTGGCCAGGGGGCGGGGCCCCAGCGGGAGGGCTGGCTCTCCTCGCGCTCCGGAGTGACAGGTGGAAACAGCTTCAAGTCCACGGCGGTGTCGCTGGGCCCTCCCTGAAGGGCAAAAGCCTTGCTATCCTCTAACCTATTTGCAGGCACTGTTCTAAGTGTTTACATATAAAATTGAATTTAGTGGGGCCTCCCAGGGGGCGCAGCGGGTTGAGTGCAGCGCTGTGAAGCTGTCCGCAGACTCTGCAGCGCGGGTTCGATTCCCGGCCGGCCAGCGACAGTCCCACATGGCGCAGCAGACCTCTCCTGTCCCTCCCCCCAGCTCCCCTCAGCAGTGTTTTCAGTCCTTCTGCCTGTTCTTCTCCCTGCTCTGTCTCTGGTGAATCCTCTCACCCTCCTGCACCTCTGGCCTGTACCCCAGCTCTTGTATAAAATTAATAAATCTTTAAAAAAATGAATTTAGTGATCACACAATCTCACAAGATAATCCCCATTTTATAGATGAAGAAATTGAGCTCCAGAGTTAAGTTACTTGTCTGAGATGTTACTTGTCAGATTTTTGCCCCTGAGCTACAGAGAATCAAGATATGAAATGGCCCAAAGGAATACTCCACAAATATTTCATTCATCCCTTTGCTTAACAAATGTCTCTGTTGGATAAATATTGGTCACCAACAACAGGACAAGCACTGTTCTTTAGTGCTGGCAATAGTTCAACAGACAAAACAGACTTAAGCCAATACCCTCAATGCAGTGCACATTCTCCTGGAAGAGACAGCCAGTAGGTGATAAATGATAAGGAAGTGAATTATCTGTTCTGTTAGATGAGTCATATAAATAAGAGGGTGGGAGAGGCTTGCAGTTTGTGGGTTTTTTTTAAGATTTATTTATTTATACATACAAGAACTGGGGTACAGGCCAGAGTTGTGGGAGGTGAGAGGATTCACCGGAGACAGAGTGGGGAGCAGAACAGGTGGACTGACTGAAATACACTGCTGAGGGGAGCAGCAGACAAGACAGCAGAGGTCTGCTCTGCCATGTGGGTCAGCCCTGGTCGGGGATTGAACTCATGTTGCAGTGGCTGGCCTAGCTTGATAGCCTGTGTCTTTAACCCCCGTGCCATCAGGGAGGTCCCAGTCTTGCAGTTTTATATGGGCTGGTCAGGGTAGCCTCACTGAGAAAATGGGATTTGAGCAAAGACATGCAGGAGGTAGGGGGTGAATGAATATCTGTGAAAGACTGTTCCAGGCCAAGGGACAAACAGTTGAAACAGGGCCTTTGCATAGTGATCTAGGTTATTCATGACATATTAATAAGAAATGAGGGGCCTCCCCTGGTGGTGCAGCGGTTGAGCGCTGGGCTGTGAAGCTGCCCACAGCCTCTGCAGCGCCAGTTTGATCCCCGGCCGCCGGCGAGGGTCCCACATGGCACGACAGACCTCTCCTGCTGCCTGCTACTCCCCTCAGCAGTGTATTTCGTCAAGTCTGCCTGTTCTGTTCCCCACTCTGGCTCTGGTGAATTCTCATCCTCCCGCGCTTCTGACTGTACCCAGTGCTTGTATAAATAAATAAATAAATCTTTAAAAAAAAAAAAAAAGAAAAGAGGCTGAAACACTGAAAAGGTTTCTACTCAGGGTTTGCTGTATCACTCCAGCTTCAGGGCAGAGGGCTTGAGAATTGCTGTTTGTAGGGCTAGAACTCTCTTCGGGCTCTCTTGGGGGTCTAGAGGCGAAGCATACATCCACTGTCCTTGCCCTTCAGAATCACTAAATCTAAGGGTCCCTGAGGCTTAGGCAGACATGGTGCCTGCCACCACCACCCCCAGCCCCACATCTGAAGTGTTGGCCCATCTATGTTCCAGGAAAAGGAACACAAATCTGGAAGAAGAAAGGAGTCATCTATGAGGGAGACTGGAAGTTTGGGAAACGAGATGGCTATGGCACCCTCAGCGTTCCAGACCCGGAGACAGGAAAGTACGTGAGAGTGTACTCAGGCTGGTGGAAAGGCGATAAGAAATCGGTGAGTGATGAGTAAGCCAGGCTGAAAGCAGGCCTCCCATGCTTTCATGTGTGGGGTGCAAAAGTCAGGCCTGGGAGAAAGGGGAGGAGGTCTGGGAGGGGAGTAGTTACAGGGTTGCTGTGTGGGTGGGAGAAGGAAGGGGTGGGGAATCTAAAGCCTTCTCAGAACAAAAGCCAGGAAACAGGAAGCCAGAGGAGAGGGCGCAGGGAGGCGCCCAAGGAGCCCCGTGGCTACCAGAAGCCAGCCAGGCAGTGTGGGGCAGTCTCCTCCCTCCTCATCCCCGCTCATTTCCTGGCCTTCTTTTCCCTGGCTCTCCCTTTTCTGAGAACCTTTCTGTTGGACCTGGGTGAGGGGGAGTAGGAAAAAAGGGAGCAAGAAAGCACAGGTCATCTTGCCCTTCCTTGGCCACAAGACCAGAAAGGAAGGCCCCGAGGGATCGGAGGAAGCCAGAGGCACGTCCCATAAATGCCCAAGGGGGTTCCTTCAGGTTTCTCTAACAAACTTGAATGAAGTCTCGCCATCGGCCATGGAGACATAATAAGGTAGTACTGCCACTCAACAACACCATCATTCTCATCCTCATTTTACTGATGAGAAACAAGCTCAGAGTGATGAAGTGCCTTGGGTGGGTTGTACCCCTAACATGTAAGAGTCCAGGGTTTTATGATTTCTGCCCTCAAATTGTTTACTAGCTAGTGGGTGGGGGGGAGATAGATCCCAGAATAAACAACACATATGATAGAGTGTTAGGTTAGAGGTTTTCAAGAGGAAGGTCATTGAGAATTCAAGGCAGGCTTCCTGTAGGAGGCGATACCAAAATATCCAAGGAGTTACCCAGTGGGGAAAAAGAAGGGGACTTAGCAAAGGAAACAGAAGTCGCAAAGGGAAGGAGATGACAAATAGCAAGGGGTGGGGGTGAGAAGAGGGGTAGGGGGGGCCTTGAAGGCTAGGTGGGGGATCTGGATGGGGGTGGGTAGACTTGGGCAGCTTAACCCAACCTCCCAGGTATGACCTTCGGGGGTGCGGGGAGAGTTGGATGATTCTCTATGGTGCTAAATGTGATGTTTCTACCATTTTTCTACCCTATAGTTTTGATAGGATTCTCACAGATATCTGCAGTTTTTAATGGGGTCAAATCAGAGTTGGGGAGACGCAGCAATCAAGATGGCGATTTAGCTTGTGTGGAGAACGCAAGGCGGGAATGGGAGGGGGAAGGGGCCTGCGAGGAGACGCGAGGGGCTGCCCGAAGGCGGGCGCGGGGGGCTGGAGGGCGGGACCCGGAGCGCTCAGCCGCAGCCCGCGGCGGGAGGAGGACGGAGCCCAGGGGTGCGGGCGGGTGGGGGGAGCAGGGGGCGCTGCCTTCGTGCTGGCGGCGCCACGAACAGAGTCACCTTTGTGTTTCCAGGGTTATGGGGTCCAGTTTTTTGGGGCGAAGGAGTATTACGAGGGTGAGTGGTGCGGCAACCAGCGCAGTGGATGGGGCCGCATGTACTACAGCAACGGGGACATCTTCGAAGGCCAGTGGCTGAACGACAAGCCAGACGGGGCGGGCATGTTGCGTCAGAGTGAGTCCCCGCCCCGCCCCGCCCCGCCCGCCCCGCCCCGCCCACAAGGCCTGCTGACCCCGCCCCCCACCACCCCAGCCCCGCCCCTGGCCACACCCACATCCCTCCCAGCCCCGCCCCGCAAGGGACCACACCCCGGGCCCCCTGTGTGGCTTAAGGTGACTGAGAGGCCCAGGTCCCTGGCCTTGAAGAGCTTATGCTCTACAATGGAAGCCTAACAATAAACATGCACAAACTGGGGCGATTTCTTATCGTCGTAATAATCACGGCCTGCAATTTGACAACACTGAGCTCACTAACACCTCCCAACAATCTAAGGTTGGCACCGCTACCAGCCCCATTTTACAGATGAACTGAGGCACAGAGAGGTTAAGTTGCTGGCTCGAGTCACACAGCCTGATAATTGTGGGGTCAAAAAAAGTACTAAGGAATTCACCTTGAAAACAGGAAGGTGTGGTCCTAATGAGTTTATTAAATAATCTGAATTTTAAAATAAAACTTGCAGCTTATGAGAAAATTAGGTCTTCGATAAACCAGTTGGGTGCTTAAAATAAACTATCTTTGCATCATAAAACAAATACAAAAATGAGATACAAATGTTGACTGTTAGTAGTTATTTTCACAGGTTAAGACCTTAGAGTTATACATATTACAGATGAAGGACTAAGCAACTAAGTAAGAACTAAGAATTGGCCTATGATTTTAAATATACAATTTGTTCCTATAAATCTTGTCAATAAAAGTAATAAAGAAAAAAAACAGGAAGGTGTGTGAGAAAATGACAAAGGAGTTAGGGGCAGGGGATATTTGGATTTGTCAGGGAATGCCTCCCGAAAGAGGCGTCATTCTCCATCTGAAAGACCTGGATTTCACTGAGCTGCTGGGAAGAGGCTCCCAGGCCCAGGGAAGAGTAAGAGGTGTCCACACTAGTGTCAGGCTTTAACCCCCTCTCTACATAGCGATCAGAGTGAACTTTATACAAGCGAATGTTGCCGCTGCCCTGCTTTCAACCTTTGTACAGCTCCCTGTTGCCCTTACCGAATTCAGAGCCCTTAGGGGTCCATGAGGCCCAGCATGATGGGGATCCCCTCCAGCCTTGCTCCCACCTCTCTTGAATGCCTCTTTAACACCCTCCCCTGAACTCACTTGGTTCAGTCAGTATATACTAACATTCTCTCAGTTACACCCTCAATTTCTGCCTCAGGGCCCTTGAACTGCTGGTCTCTCTTCCTGGAATAAAAATCTCTGCACTATCTGCTTCTCAGAGGCCTTCCCTGTCCATTCCACCTAAAGCACTTTTCCCCATTATTCTCAGCACCGGCTTCCTTTCCTTCTTAACACTTAATGCCAGGCGGGGCCTCCCTGGTGGTACAAGGGGTTAAGCACAGCACTATGAAGCTGTTCATAGCCTCTGCAGCACAAGTTTGATCCCCAGCCTGTCAGGGAGATACCCACATGGCGCAGCAGACCTCTCCTGTCTCGCCCACTGCAGTGTTTTCAATCTGCCTGTTCTTCTCCCCACTCTATCTCTGGTGAATCTTTTCACCATCCTGCACCTCTGGCCTGGACACCGGTTTTGTATGCATAAATAAATAAATCTTTATAAAAAAACACTTAAACAGGTGGATCATCTTGGGTGAGATACTTTGCCTCTCTGTGCCTCACGTTCCTCGTCTGTAAACAGGAAACAACAGACACCTGCCCACTTCATCAGGCAGTACTGAGGATTAGAAAAGGGAGTCAGTCTGTGTAAGTGCTCAGAGCAGGGCCTGGCACATAGTACGCTCTCTATAAAGCTGGTATCATTTTTTTTAAAAGATTTGTTTATATAAGAACTGGGGTATAGGCCAGAGATGCGGGAGGGTGAGATAATTCACCAGAGACAGAGAGGGGAGCAGAACAGGCAGATGGACCAAAGACACTGCTGAGGGGAACAGTGGGCGAGACAGGAGAGGTCTGCCGCGCCATGTGGGTATCTCCCTGGCCAGCTGGGAATTGAACTCGCATTGCAGAGGCTGCGGACAGCTTCACAGTACTGTGTTCAACTGGCTGCGCCACCGGGGAGGCCCAAAGCTGATATCATTATCCCACCGGATGGGAGTGGCAGCAGGACCAGGTCTGTGTCTGTTTTGTTCCCCACTGTTTCCCCACTCCCTGGTACATAGTAGGTGTTCTGGGTGAGGGCATGCACCAGAGCCAGTCTCCTGCAAACTAAGATTCCACTTTTCACCAGGCACTACAAGTGCCCCACAGTAGGAGGACTGGAGATGCATCTTTTTTTCAGATTTTTTTTGTTTATTTATGCATACGAGAGCTGGGGTGCAGGCCAGAAGTGCAGGGTGGGGTATGTGAGAGGACTCACCAGAGACAGAGTGGGGAGCAGAACAGGTGGATCCACTGAAACAAAGTGCTGAGAGGGTGCAGCAGGCAAAACGGAGAGGTCTGCGGTGCCATGTAGGTCAACTCTTGGCTGGAGATCGGACTCATGCTGCATTGCTGTTGATAGTGTCATAGTAC